GTCCACATTCACATGGCATGCGTGTGCCCAGTTCATAGAATCTTCATGTTGCGTTTCTACAATCAGCTTCTAATTACATATTGGGCCAAAACCCACAGCCCAGACACGCTGGAAATTCTCCTTGATTTATGCTAAGTATTCAATGATTGTGGCAAAAGAAGATGGTACACAATTACTAAAGGAACCGTTAAAACGTAATTCCATCCATTCCACCTACTAATGTCACATTGAGTTCTCAGATGTTAATAACGTAAAGACACAGCCAAATGGAATGTGATTTATAAACACAGGATGGACCAATTATTTTCGACTCCAGTTATCCAAATTACTGCACATCGATTAGGTGAGCGTGATGTTGATACTGTATTCCATTACTCAGGTAAACTAAAAATGATCAACTTAATTATGAAGCCTCTTCAACCTAACATGAGATTAACTGCCTCTAAGTGCATAACAAACTGGAAACAATGACTAACATAGTAGGCTGATTTTTCATCTAATTATTATTAATATAAGAGTTCAATTGAAGCCACAGGATCTAACAACCAACCAATTCAAAAATCAGTGTTCAAGTTAACACAGTCCCTACAGTTCGATAGTGATTCCAGCTTAACCCAATTTCAAGCAAACTACCAATGCCCTAATTTTACAATCTTATAACTGCAACAAAATTCATATAGCCTTATGCAATATCAATACAACTATAACAGAACTTAATTACAATCTAGCAATCAACAGGAGGCACTCATTAACATATAAAATCGATGAAACTTCTTTATTTCACCTTCCAGCTCACAATTACATTGCAACGAGTTCAAAATGGTACGTGGAAATAGAATTTGCAACAGAAGAAGAAAATCAGCAGCAGCAATACACCAGCAAACCAGCAAATATACGAACAACAATAATACACAGCTCAGGGAATCAAGTTATAGCCCAGAAGATGTTTGAAATCAACCAAAACGAGAGATCAGACTTGACTCGATTCCAAAACAGACCAAAACTCTTAAGAATTATCTAGAATACTCAATGCTTTCAAACACAACCCAAGCTCGATCAAAGACCAACTGGATTGGATCCTCTTCACCCAAAATCAGTCTAGTATACCCTTGGCATCTCAAATAGCAAATTTGAAACTATGAAATTTGAAATCAAACTAGAATTTCCAATGAAACAGTAACTACCGTTTTTTTGATTTTTGAGTTTTCCTTCTGTTTTTTTTTAAAAGTTTGAATTCCAGTTTCAGATCTGGAAAATGAGAGAATCTTGGTGAGGGGGAATTTTTGGCTGAAAGAAGGAAAAAAAATGACCCTTAACAAAGCAAATGTGATGCCTTTTATAGGCACAAAGAGTGAGTTATCAGATTTTAAATTATCTCTTAGGTCCCTGTTCATTTTCCACTTTCAGTCCTTGAGTTTTCTAACTTATTCTGCAAGCTAACACCCCTTTTTAACTGATATTCCACTATGACCCCAACCTAGAAGCTTCTACTGTATTCTAGCTACCTGAATTTTACTAAGTTAGAACAAATCGATCCTAAAATTATACTATTAATCCGGCTAGAATTCGAAACAAACCAACAAAAGGAAAAATTAAGCACAAGATTAAAACCAAAAATCAGAACTGAAAATGATCAAAACTAACGGGAATTAAACTAACAATTAATCGCTTTGAGAACATAAGAAGGAAGAAGGTTAAACAAAAAAAAATACACTTACCGGACTGCCCTTGCCCAGGCTGCTTCTGACCCAAATTTCCTCGGAATTTCAGACCATAATTATCCCTAATCATGTGTTTTCATAAGAAAACACATGATTAAGGGCTATTATAGCCCGAAATCAAGGAGACCTCAACTTTTAGCAAATTAGGGTTTTTCGGCCCAAATTCAAATTTAAATTCGAGACAAACTGACGACATTCAAAGACATCTAACTGGGGATTGGAGATGAGGAAGGGTAGAGGAGCATGGGGTGTGAATTTGGACCGGTTTGGACAAGGTTGCGACTTGGCCGAAAAATTTAAAATGGACATTCGAAGCTTTCTGGGTGGATTCGAGGGAAGCCATTTGCATATTCGGAAAGAGGGTGAAAAGGGGAGTTTGGGGTGTTATTTTGGTGGCCATTGGCGTAATTGGNGTTTCTTTTATTTATTTTTTGTATTTCATTTCGTATATATTTTTTGTATTTTCCTAATTTTTATAAAATTGCAAAAATTAAAATAAAGTCCTAATATATTTCAAAATTAAACTAATTAATTCCTAAAATTATTTTAAAAACTATTTCGGGACGAATTCACAATTAAACAATTAAAAATGCAAAAGTGAACTATTTTTGTTATTTTCTTCACATTTTGTTCTAAAATAAATTAACCCCTAATTAATACTAAAATATGAAATTAAGTCCTAGATGCAAATACATTTTTTTTTGTATTTTTCGTATGAATAAAAATGCACAAATAAAATGCAACAATTACCAAAAAATGCCACAAAATTCACAAAAATTGTAAAATAACAAAGAAATTATTTTGTTTGAATTTTGGGAATAACTCATGTATAGGGCAAAAATCACGTGCTCAGACTTGCAAGATATAGTGTAGTCCTCAATGCATGTCTTGGATGCACATCTCTATGCCCCAAGCTTCACTAAACATGTCTTTGCAGTTGAGGCTTGCATTCCTCCAACGATTTATAAAGTCGATAACTTGTTCACTCTTTCGCTGACGAGTATTTGTAAGTTCTATCATACTCACAGTACGTCTCGTGCTATAAAAGTGATTGAGGAATTCTTGCTCTAGTTGATCCCAACTAGCAACAGATCCAGCCTCGAGGTTCGTGTACCAATCAAAAGCATTTCCTTTTAATGAGCGGACAAAGTGCTTGACGAGTTAATCTCCATAAGTCCCAGCATTGTTGCATGTCTCAACAAAGTGTGCCACATGTTACTTTGGATTGCCTGTGCCATCAAACTATTGAAATTTTGGAGGTTGATAGCCAGCATGCATCTTTAATATATCGATCCTTGAAGTGTACGGCTTTGCGTAGGTAAAGGAGGACTTGGAAGCAACTTCATATTTGTTTTTTATAGTCCATTCAATAAACTCCTTTAGTTGATTGATTGGAATCATCCCTTCTGAAGAGACTGGAATTTCCTTAGTGGATGCAACTTGTCTTGGGGGAGGATCAATCTCTTGAACTTCTGGGAGTTTGCCAGGTGCATGGGTGGATTCTTCTTCCATCAAGATTCCCACCCTATCTGTTAGTTTGTCTATTCTAGCATCTTGATTTTGCATGCACTTGGTCAGGCTAGTGATTGCTTCCGTCAAGTTCGCCAACTGCTCCTCCACAGATGAAGTGTTTGTCATCATGGCTTGCATGATTGTCGTGGATGATGGAGAGTAGCATGGATTTTCACAAAGATTGATCCTTGATTGGCTAACGCTATATGGTGTAAGTGGGGAGGATTCATCACTTGAAGCATCATCATCTTCCTTCACAGCAAAGTGCTTGGATCCGGAGAGATCAAGCAGAGCAAGAGTTTTCTTGATTTTTCAGCAACATCGTTTCCTCTTTCGGGTGCGTTTGTGAAAGATCTTGCTCCTTTTGAGGATAAAGATCCGAAAACAGGGGTTGATGTGGACGGCACTTGGGGTGCTTGTTGTCCTAACGAGCTTGATTTGCTCCTCGTAACTGGTCCAAAGCTTCCAAAGGTAACTTCGAGTATGTTTTCCACATCAGCATAGAACCTGGAATTAGCAGCCTTAATGGAAGTTGAACTGGAGTTGGTTTTCTTTGAAGCCATTTCGATGTTCTTGAAATTTGGTGATTGAAAAGCTGAGATAAGAGGTAGAGATTGTCCCACTGGGCATGCCGGAATTTGTAGACAATAAATTGTGTCAAGAAAATAAAATCAATACCGAAAAATATTCCAATTAGCGTAGTATTTTATTTCGAATATTTGAGTGTTACAATCTCCATGAATCCTCTGATTCTACTCTTCCAATATAAATTCAAGGGCATTTGAGCTTGATCTTGAATTTTAATGATTTATCCATCGCGAACACTTTGATTGTTGCCAAGAATTTTATCACGAACAAGTAGCCTTGATCTTGAACGTCTTGTATTTGATTTGACTTCGTTCTTGATCTTAAATACTTGAATTGTTTTTCGTTCTTGAACTTGAACTTGATTGCTTGAAGTCTGAAACTTGTAGAGAAATTTGCGGCGTTTAATCCACGAGCTCTCTCTTGCTTCTTGTTATAACTTATGGTGTCTTTTCTAGGTTATGGAGACCTCTATTTATAGTTGTGAGAGGGAAGAGTTATGATAAGAACAAACTCTTTCCGACCAATCAAATTAAAGTGTGACAAGGCCGTATTTGATTGGCCGAAACATGTTACTTGCACACGTGGCATGATTTCATTGGCCTTTTAGTGTGACTTGGCACGCCTTGTCATTTTGACACGTGGCATGATCCTATTGGCTCTTTCATTTGACTGGGCGCGCCACGTCATTTGACACGTGGTATCAAACTAGGCCTCTAGGAAGATGACATCTTGGGCTTAATGAAGTGGGCTCATCACTTTAGCCTAATTAAATGGGCTAGCTCAATGGATTAAGACTTATTTATTTAATCTATATATATTTGATTTATATAATTAATCCAATTATATTAGTCCATAATATTTATTTGGATTAATATATTAAAATATAGTCCATATTATTTTATGGATTTTATTCCGATAAAATTTATATGCCCACAGATGGATTTCTTAATATGTGTGAAAATAGCCAAATTAATTACATTGAACCGGAGAGAGTATATTACAATGCTTGTACATAAAGTTTGCATTACAGTTCCTGCATTACTGATCTCTGTGCTACAATCCATACTTATTTCTAAATTAAATGATACCTAAGGGTTTAATCTAAGTTACACTTTAAAAAAATGTTGGTAGTTGTAAAACATGTTTTGGCTTTTAAATTTCCACAACTACTAAGCAGGCGCAAGCTGCGGACACGTCAGGCGTCACCGGAGCTTAATACGACGCCGCTTAGTTTGCATAGGAAGTTCCATTTAATTTTTGCCAGCTGCAAAAAGTAAAAGGCGAAAAGAAAAAGAGCGTTGGGGGAGAGGGGAAGCCAACGCTAGACAAAGCCATGAAAAAGATGGCAGGTTTGGCGTCGGCAGACTGGCAATGGGAAAACGCCACCGCCGGCGCCGTGGCTGGCCTCGCCACCGTCACTTTCTCTCATCCCCTTGACGTTGTTCGTACCAGGTTCCAAGGTAACTGTCTCTATGCTTTTTAAGCTATGTAGCAAAATGTCTGATCTCGTGTTGTAATTCCGACCTTGATTTTGACGTAAATGTTAAAATCATAGTTTACGATGGAAGAATCTCGAACGTCCCGGCTTATAGGAACACTCCTCACGCTTTATTTACCATTGCTCGAAGTGAGGTTTGTATTTTCTGTATTTTATAATTTCCCTGCATATATTGAAGCTTAGCTATATATGTATTGCTACTATTCCAAAAGAAACTGCTTTTCAATTCATCAAGTTGGTAGTTTTTCATGAAAGACGAATCCTATAGTAGTATGTCAAGGATGCATGTTTCATGAATTTTGAGCTTCTCAAATAGGTAATATCAGCATTGGGAAAATAATTACATGGTTTAATGTTGGGATTGTTACACAAATAGCCGGCTAGATTGAATGTGTATTTTTTCTAGCCGTATACATAGATTATATATTGATTATACACAGTTATACATGAATTTATATGTAAATTATACATTTGATGGCTATTTTTAGTTTAAGAGATTAAGTGGACGGCATTTGGGTTAATTCTTCTTCTTTTGAGTGAATGCCCTGACCTAGGTGTATCTAAATGGCATGGTTTCAGCAAGTATCCTTCTATGGCGAAATGAGGTCATGTTTGTGTGGACCCTAGCACTACTGATTTATACCTATGGAGTTTTATGTTTGCTTTCCTGAATTCTCCACATTATGATATCCAATCCACGGTAGCAATATCCATTTTATCTCTCAATAATCTTCTTGGAACCAAGAGGAAGTGTCTCCTAATAGAGTTTGTACATTGCTACTCCAACTAGAAAGACAGGTTTTCTGTAAAGATGGTTAAGCTCTTTACTTGAATGTCAAGAGGGAAGTGAGATGTCAGTATGCAAATCTTGACTTGACTGAATGCGTTCTTGTTACTTAGAGTTGATTCATTCAGCCTCATGACATAATCAAAGGGAGAAACTCCATCACACTTTGTCAATCACAATCAAACATCCTGCTGACGTATGCTTTTATATATGATCCTTTCCTTGCTTCCCACTTTTGAGTTTTGTGCTGCAGACTGCCGAATCTTTACCTTATTACCCATATAAGTGCTCGTGTTTCCGCCAAGATGATTTCATTAAGTTATCATATTGTCTGTGCTCCAGGGTCTTAGAGGACTTTATGCTGGCTTTTACCCTGCTGTTCTTGGGTCAACTATTTCATGGGGTTTATATTTCTTCTTGTAAGTAAAGATCTTCTGTTGATGTCCTTGATAATATACTATTTTACAGTATTTCATTGGAGAACGTTAAAGACTGAACTTCATTTCCCAGATCCCAAAAGCATCTTTGGAATCAATTATGTGATAATATAAATTTTTGCATGTTTTAGCTCTGTTCCAATCCGCAAGAAGGCTGCTCTCCGTCAGTCTATCCGTTTTTCCCTTGTGAAGTCTTTGCTCCACGCAAGTTGTATCCATCAGTACATGGAACACTATTTAGTCTCATTCAAGACCTGATCAAGGGATTTTCCCTTTTTACTTTTGGTCTATGTTATTATATTTATTTGGGTTCCCTTTGTAAAGCCATCAAAAAGAGACAAGAAATCAAAATATAGCAAAAGAACAGATCTATTTGATAGAGCTTCTTACTATACCTATGAATTCTATTGCACATCGAAATATACATTGGAAGATCCCATTAGGTCTTTCAGTATCAGTACATTGATTGTTTCACTTGAATCTTGTATAGTCAACTAATGATTGACAAGCTGCAAGTATTCTTTCGTGTACACAATCCATTTATTAAAAGAAAGTTGCTTTCTCTTTGATTCTTTCTTTTTTATAAGGTAAAAGTTTATTTATAAGGTACCAAGATGGTACAAAATGATACTGCTTTCTCTTTGATTCTTCTTACATGTCTAGGCTTGAGAGACATCTTTCTCAAACTCATACATCTGAAATTTCCCTCTCATAGCTATAGCAAGGCTAAGCAAAGGTATCTGAGAAGCAGGGAGGAGCTGAGTCCCGGCCTTCATCTTGCTTCAGCTGCAGAAGCAGGAGCTCTGGTCAGTAGTCAGATTTCTGATGCTTTAATGAATGTGTAGTTCATGTGTTTGACAGGAGTGTCAAATATAGATAGTTGGAGGATGTGATTCTTTATTTGCTGTAGTTGTCCTTGTAGGAGTGCAATTGTAGTTGTCTGGCTGGTAATGAATCCCTTACTTTACTGTTGTTAGAAGTGTTACCAATGTAAATTCTTTTTCTCAAATAAAGGCATGGTTGAGTAATAAACCTATATTTTGGACTCGAAAAAAAAAGAGAGGTGATTCCCATCAATTGTTGGCAAACCACAAATGTCTGTGCTTAGGTGTTAGTTAAATAATGGAGCTGGAGAATCTTATTGACGAACAAATTTGATGATTGATGACTTATTAGGTTTACCACTGACATGAAAATCTTTAGGTGGACAAAATTTGTGGCATGCTTATTTATGTAACTTTAAACATCCCCCCCC